CCCTATTCCTCCCAATTAAACATGAAAGGAGGATTACAAATTACCTACTTACCCTTCTCATTCAATTATTCCCTCCCAAAATTGAATTTACATCAAGTGGGCCCCCCTTGATGTTTCCGCCCCCCCTCTGGCTGGGTTTCTTCCGCCGGCTGTAAGCCAAGACCGGTCCAGCCGGCCCAGGATGGGCCGGCGTAACAAAATCAAAGCATTAACAACAAGGGGAAAGTAGACTAGTCCATGAAAAAGAATAAGCAATGGAGGAGTTGGCACAAAAACATTAGCTTTAATTTGGTAATGTCATTACGTGTAAACCTCTTTACTGACAATCATGTATCCACAATTCAACAACTTCTATGTGGGTTGTCAACTCATTTTAGTATGAAAAACTTGGGCAGGATATCCTATTTTCTAAGAATGCAACTCACTCATACAACTACAGGACTATGTTTATCTCAATCAAAATATTCTTTAGAGCTTTTACATCGTGCAGGAATGGCTGAATGCAAGCCAATTTCATCTTTTACTTTGTCTAAGTTTATAAGTGTTTTGAATTCTCCCGTCTCCCTCTCCATACGAACACTACAGAAATATTGTTTGCTCACAGTCTGAACGATTCTTTTCCGTTTGGACCCCGCATGGATTAATTTCTTATTAATTTGTGTGCTACTGACTATATTTTTATGAAAACCGATGTATTCTTCATACATTGTTGTACCACCAGTCATTTGAACCAGTGCAATTCTATCAAGGATGAAGAATTTCTTAAGTTGAATTTTTTAGATGTGTTGTGTGATAGAAATTTTTTGGTGATAGATAGATTTTTTATGTCTTTAAACATCTTCAAGTTCTTATTAGATTCGTATAGGTATCTTTAATGTGTAAATGAAGATTTATTTATAGTATTTTGAGAGTAGTATTAAGATAATTGGCTAGATTTTTATAACTCTATTGAACGGTTAATATTAATTTTTTTGATAATATATTATTCATTGAACAGTATTAAGTGTTGTAATGACTTCAGAATCTAGTGATCCTAAACTTATTGGATTCGTTTCATTGAGCCAGCCACTCAATTTGAGTGAAGTGTTTGATCCTCCATCAGTCAATGCTATTTTCATGAAGCTCTTATGAAGAACACATCTCCTTCACTCCAGCTATCCGCTGCCTGTAGCAATCAAGCTGTCTGAGATCTTGTCATAACTATAAATACATACTCTATCTAACAACAAGTAGTGTTTGTGTTTTCTATTTTGTCGACTTGACGTTATTTTGATTATATCAAGTGCAATCATTGTCACTGCTGAGATCGTCAACACTGATATTTTTCGTTGTGGACAATAGTATAGCACACGACATGGGAAAACATCAGGACATTAATCATTTTTAACAATCAAATAAATTTTAAGATAAGTGAAGTATGATGCGAAGGGTCATCATGGTTTACTAATTGTCATTTAGGGAAGGAACATAGTGTTGTCAATTAGGTCTTTCTGATCCATAAACTCAGTTAATTAAATTCGTTAACTGTTTTCTGTTTTTCCTTAACTTATTTCTTTATTATCTTGCAAAGGCTGGGCTGTTTTGTCTTTTCCTATATATTTGGCTTGCTGGCATCATGGGGAAGAGTTGTAAACAGAAGCATAATTTTGTTTTTTTGAGGGGGAACTGCCTGAAGAAAGGGTTGGGGTTTTGAATTCGGCTTGGCTTCTTGTGTGAGGTGGAGGAAGAGAGTGTTTAAAAATCTAAAGATTTCTGTGTGTGTTGAAGAGGATGGATATTTCTTGTCTCTCTTGCTATTTCTTCTTCTCCGAGTTAGACAATCATAAGGGATTGTCAGTTTGGTGGCCTGTTTTGTGCCATAAGCTCTTTTGTTCGGATGTGTGAGTCGGGTGTGAGAGCAAGAAAGAATGAAATCTTTGTCAACAATTTTTTTGGGCTTCTTGTGGAAGAGATAAGTGTGGGGTGAAATGTTGGGATTTTTGAAAATGTGAAGAAGGTGAGCCCTTCTTGTTCTCCTCTAGAACGTTCTTCGTCTCTGAGAAAGGCTATGGGTCGTTATTGTCTGTTAGAAGCTGATTGTGCCGTAAGATCTTGTTCCTTTGCATTATTACTGTACACTGAAATTGCAGGTATATATTTCTCCTTATAGATTAGAAGGTTTGATTTTGATACCTGCTGTGTTGCTCTCGGTTTGGGGCTACAACTCCTGTTCACCCGATTCTATGCATTTTATTATTTCTATTTTTAGTTCATTGCTTCTCTTGTTTTAAAGATCTGATTAGATCTTTAAATTGTTGCAATTGAAGTATTGTTTTCCCGGTTTGGGAGTTCTCTGGCATATCCAGTTCCACTTGCTATGCTTCTTGGCTTACATTCTTTTATTTTCTGTTAAAGATTTGGTACGGAATTGAGGTGGAGGAATTTTACTGTTATTGCATTCTTTAGATTTGTATAAGATTTGTAAGGAAGCATCTTTTGTTTTTTAGCATTTATTCTTTCAGCCGAGTGTTGGCTGTTAGTAGTTTTATTTGTGTTGTTTTTCTGATTATATAATTCTTGTATCCAATTTCAACAAGTACTAAATAAAAGAAGATGACCGAGGTTGCCCCGTGGATGTAGAGTTCGCAAGATCTTGAACCACGTAAATTTGTTGTGTTCTTGTTACAGTTTTTTCATGAATTTTGTTTATTGAAATTATTTTTTGCATAAGCTGTGAGAAAATAGTAATTATTTACTGTTTGTGCCTTTGAAATTAATTTTGTGAGAGTACAATTTGTAAATAAACCTATAATCTACGATCAAGATAATTGAATCATCGGGTTGGGTGGTTGATCTATATCTTCCACGCACAACAGAGTTGCTACCGCTTATATGTTTATGAAAAATGATGTATTCTTCATACATTTTTGTACCACCGGTCATTTGAATTGGTGCAATTCTTCCAGGGATGATGAATTTCTTAAGTTGCATTTTTCACATGTGTTGCGTGTTAGAAATTTTTTTTGCCGAAAGATAGATTTTTTTTTGTCTTAGCTTTTCAACTGCCGATGATTGTTAATAAAATTTTTAATCATAAATTATTCATTAAATAGTATTTAAGTTTCTTAAACAATCTAATAATTCTAAACTTAAGGTTCATGTCTATCAAATGAACATTTTTGAAGGCTTCAAAATCTAATAAATTTTTTTGAGGAGCTTATAGAAATATTTTATAAGCATTGGCTGTCAGCTTAAGCTTAAGAAAAAATTCTCTCATAGCTTTATCCAAAAAGAAAAAAAATTCATAAGGAAATAGTGGGCCTACAAAAAATACCTGATAGGATCAAAGAAGTTCCTAAATGCCCTTAGGAGATTTCTTGTCTTCCATAGATTTCCTAAGCGTTCCGAGAGGATTTCTATCAAGATGGAATTATTAGGTTCCAAAATTAAATGTAAGTTATTAATGAGGCTTACAAAGTAGAGTCTATTAACAAATATGCAACTAATGATTTCACAAGTTATGGTTGTTAAATGATACAGATAAAGAACAAGAATGATAATATGTGTCCGTACAGCTGTTACAAAACTATACGGCATTCCATCTCTAAAACTTTATATATACCATTGTACATTCTATAATGAAGTTAAGGAAATATAATTACAAGTCTCATTTTCTCTGTTAGCATCGCTCTTCTTGTCCTCTCTTCCTATCGCCTTACGGCATCATAGGTTAACATGGTATCAGAGAAAATGAGACTTGTAATTATATTTCCTTAACTTCATTACAGGATGTACAATGGTATATATAAAATTTTAGAGATGGAATGCCCTACAGTTTTGTAACAGCTGTAAGGACACATATTACAATTCTTGTTCTTTATATGTATCATTTAACATGGTCAGCCAAGTTAATGAGCATGGCAAGGAATTTGTTTGAATCAGTTGTATCTTTTTAAGATTTCATCTACTTTTTATGAAATTAAGAATTTATTTGCTTTTATGAAATAGTTAGTTCCAATTTTATTTTTTTTGAATTTGAATTCCTAATTTTAGTTATCAATTCCAAGTAAGTTGGGTTTGAATGAATCATCACTTAAAAATTCTACCAAAAAAAAAATCCTCCTTTCTCGCTACCTTTTCATGTCTTCTTCTCCATCTTCTCTCTCTACTCTCCACTTATCTCCTCATTAGAAACAACAACAAATCTCCTGTATTCCAATTTTGGTAAACCCATTTCTACACAGCTGTGGGCTTCACATCCATAAAAGGAAATGATTCATAGTTGTTGTTCTTGCTTTATTGGGCTGAAGGCAGTTTTGTTACTCACTACTTCAAAGAAAAAGAATAAGCAATGGAAGGAGTTGGCACAAAAACATTAACTTTAATTTGGTAATGTTAATTCCATTTTATCAAGTAATCTAATAAATTATTCTTATAAGTTTTGCAAAGTTCTAAATAATGTATAAACCCTAGTTGATTTGATGTGATCCCTCTACGCCAAACCCAACAGATCCAGTTGACAAGATGCCCAAAAAATTGTGGGATACATTGTGATATTTGATTTTTGCCTTGGGTGGTTAGATAGAAAAATCATAAACCTCTCAGTCCTATATATAGGTTAATATAGTAACTTGATCGAATAATTTCAATCCAGGAAAAAAAATACAGATCTAATTATTCTCAAGAAAGAAAGAGGAAGGAACATACACGAAATGCCTTTTGCATGGATCTATCTTATGGAAGACGACCTTTCATAAGAATTGAAAGGGAGAACTTGGCGATATCGATAAGGTTAGCAATGTTGTGAAGGGATCGTTCCTCTGATCCAAATATGAAGATGGTGCAGACCTGAGCTTTCTTTGAGAGGCGAGCGACATAAGTGGGAGATCAGGATAATTGAGGGATCTCAAAATTTGACGATATAAAGAGAGCACCTTTCCTCTATTCCTTGCCAAGTCCTCCGCATTTGCCCAAATCAAACCATTAGCCATTCCTTCGTTAAAAAAAAAAACGAAATACAAAAAGATAATAGAGGGGACGATATCAGAAAGGTAAATGCTAAATGCCTTCTTAACAAGATCGAAAATAAGAAACTTTATTCCTTTAATTATGATAGAAATGGAGGAAATCATAGAAATTTGAAAGTTGTCCGTAACCTTTCGCAAAACCTCCACCATAATCAGTCTCTCCATTTTTTAACTTGGGGTTTTGCTCTATGATTTTTGTCTCGCTTAATTTATGCTTGCATGGAGTTAGCTGATGTCATTTCATCCAATTGTAGCATTTGTTCACTACATCCATAGTAGGAAGTAATTTTTAGAAGCACAAACATTTTTTTCTCTTTTTTTTGACTCAAAATATTCTAAGCTTAATTTTTATGTTGAGGAATACAAATTGCTAATGCAATTCTCTAAAGATATTTGATTGCCTAGAAGCATGAACACAGAACCTAGAGGAAATATGAGAAAACTCAACAGCTGATTAACAAAGTTTCCATGAATTTTTGCATATAAAATATTATTATTTTTCTTGTTAAATATAATGTTTACATTTATTTATTGTTCTTTTTCACTGTCATCAATCTCCTCTTTAATCTCCTCTTTAATCATTGAAAAACACTTCTCACTTTGTTCTATGCACTAATCATATATATATATATATATATATATATGTATATACTTTGACAAGGATTTTCATTGGTATCCAAGCTAAGGTTATCATTGGTATCCAAGCATACTTTGACAAGGATTTTCTTTCCTGATGAGTGCATAGAACTAAGTGTGAAGTGCTTTTCAATGATTAAAGAGGAGATTTATAATGAAGAAGAACAACAACAAATGAAAGTGGGGATTATATCTAAAAAGAAAAAACAATAATATTTTATATGTAGAAATTGAGTGAGATTTGTTAATTAGCTGTTGAGTTTTCTCACATTTTATCTAACTTTCATTTTCATGCTCCTAGGAGATCAAATATCTTTAGACGGTTGAATTAGCAATTTGAATTTCTCAGCGGAAAGAATAAACTTAAAATGTTTTGTGTCAGAAAAATATAAAAATATGTTGGTGCTTCAAAAAATTGCTTTCTATTATGGATATAGTGACAAAATACTACAATTGTATGAAATGACATCAACTAATGTGATCTTTTCATCTAGCTGTGTAAAATGTTATTTTGATTATGGATCAAAATTTCGTCTGACTCTTCCATGCAACCATGAATTAATAGAGGCAAAAATGATATAGCAAAACCCTAAGTTAGAAAATGAAGGGATTGATTATGGTGGAGGTTTTACGGAAGATGATGGTAGGTTTATGGTTGCTGGCAACCTTAAAATTTCTCCAATTTCTTCCATTTCTGTCATAACTAAGGAATTGACTTTTTAATTTTCAATCTTGTTGAGAAGGAAGTTAGCGTTGATGAAGCCAAAGTAAAATGTTTTCTTCTTCTGATCAAATTTTATTTTTTATTCAAAATACAGGTTCTATAGATGTTAGGTACCACGATGTTCCCAAAGACTGTGTTAACTGATGTTTTCTCTGATAAACCAATGTATCGGAAAAATTACTAAATGTCTGTAAAGTAATGCTTAAGCTGTGGTGCAACACATTATGACTGGTGACTGAACTATACAAATTTTTTTGTCGGATTCGAACCATTTCATTTTTGGTTAGCATTGATATCCAACAAAAATTAGCTCATCAGTTTTATCCTAAAAAATCTTTCTATTTCTAGTCAAATTCTACTCCTCATACTTAGGACGCTACTATGGTTCCTAATTAATTTAGAGAAATTATTCCGTGCGGAGTTTGAACGGGAAAGAGTTGTTTGGACTTTGAGTGTACACACTGTATACTTTGTGTATAATTTTTGTATACAATTTGGTTCAAACTGTATACATACTATTTGTATACAATGTGTACACTCACACTCCGAACGATTCTTTCCCGTTTGGACTCCGCATGGAATAATTTCTCGTTAATTTGTGTGTTACCGACTATATTTTTATGAAAACTGATGCATTCTTCATACATTGTTGTACCAACAGTCATTTGAACCAGTTCAATTCTATCAAGGATGAAGAATTTCTTAAGTTGGATTTTTTAGATGTGTTGTGTGATAGAAATTTTTTGGCGATCGATAGATTTTTTTTGTCTTTACAAATCTTCAAGTTCTTATTAAATTCAAGTATAGGCCTCTTTAATGTGTAAATGAAGATTTATTTATAGTATTTTGAGAGTAGTATTAAGATAATTGGCTAGATTTTTTAAACTCTATTGAATGGTTAATATTAATTTATTTGATAATATATTATTCATTGAACAGTATTTAAGTGTTGTAATGACTTCAGAATCTAGTGATCCTAAACTTTTGGATTCGTTTCATTGAGCCAGCCGCTCAATTTGAGTGAAGTGTTTGATCCTCCATAAGTCAATGCTATTTTCATGAAGCTCTTATGAAGAACACATCTCCTTCACTCCAGCTATCCGCTGCCTGTAGCAATCAAACTGTCTTGAGATCTTGTCATAACTATAAATACATACTCTATCTAACAACAAGTAGTGTTTGTGTTTTCTATTTGCTCGACTTGACGTTATTTTGCTTATATCAAGTGCAATCTTTGTCACTACTGAGATCGTCAACACTGATATTTTTCGTTGTGGACAATAGTATAGCACACGACACGGGAAAACATCGGGACATTAATCATTGTTAACAATCAAATAAATTTTAAGATAAGTGAAGTATGATGCGAAGGGTCATCATGGTTTACTAATTGTCATTGAGGGAAGGAACATAGTGTTGTCAATTAGGTCTTTCTGATCCATAAACTCAGTTAATTAAATTAGTTAACTGTTTTCTGTTTTTCCTTAACCTATTTCTTTATTATCTTGCAAAGGCTGGGCTCTTTTGTCTTTTCCTATATATTTGGCTTGCTGACATCATGGGGAAGAGTTGTAAACAGAAGCATAATTTCGGTTTTTTGAGGGGGAACTGTCTGAAGAAAGGGTTGGGGTTTTGAGTTCGGCTTGGCTTCTTGTGTGAGGTGGAGGAAGAGAGTGTTTAAAAATCTAAAGATTTCTGTGTGTTGAAGAGGGTGAATATTTCTTGTCTCTCTTCCTATTTCTTCTCCGAGTAAGACAATCGTAAGGGATTGTCAGTTTGGTGGCCTGTTTTGTGCCATAAGCCCTTTCATTCGGATGTGTGAGTCGGGTGTGAGAGCAAGAAAGAATTAAATCTTTGTCAACAATTGTCTATATGAAGCACT